AGCCTGGGCAAGAGAGTGAGACGCTGTCTGAAAAAAAAAAAAAAAAAGAAAAAGAAAAAAATGAAAAAAAAAAAGGAGAAATTTGGACACAGAAACAGACACATACCCACAGGGACAACGTCATGTAAAGATGAAGGTGGAGACTGAAGCAGTGTGGCTACAAGCCAAGGAATGTCAAATATTGTCAGCAAAGCAAACCGCCAGAGGCTAGGAGAGGGATCTGGAACAGACTCCCTTAGAAGGAGCTAATCTTGTTCTTCGTCTTGGATTTCCAACCTCCAGAAACAGGAGAGAATAAATTTCTGTTGACTAACACCCCCAACCCCCACAGTTTGTGGCACTCCTACAGCAGCCCTAACAAACTCGTATACCCCACCTATTTAATTAACTAATTAATTCATTAATTCCTTCATTCATTATTCATTTTTTTTCGAGACCAAGTCTTGCACTGTCACCCCAGGCTTGAGGGCAGTGGTGTGACCTCGGCTCACTGCAACCTTCGCCTCCCAGGTTCAAGCGCTTCTCCTGCCTCAGCCTCCCAAGTAGCTGGGATTATAGACACCTGCCACCATGTCCCACCAATTTTTGTATTTTTAGTAGAGACGGGGTTTCACCATATTGGCCAGGCCTGTCTTGAACTCCTGTCCTCTAGTGATCCACCTGCCTTGGCCTCCCAAAGTGCTGGGATTACAGGCATGAGCCACTGCTCCCGGCCTATTTTTTATAGAGATGAGGTCTTGCTGTGTTGCCCAGGCTGGTCTCAAACTCCTGGCCACAGCCTTCCAAGTAGCTGGGACTGCAGGTGCATGCCACCATGTCCAACTATGCCAATTATTTTAAAGCACATTCTAGGCAGTGTATGATAGGTTTCTTCTCTTTTCTTTTCTTTTCTTTCTTTTCTTTTCTTTCTTCTTTTTTTTGAGTCAGGGTCTTGATCTGTTGCCCAGGCTGGATTGCAGTGGTGCGATCTCAGCTCACTGCAGCCTCCACCCCCAGGGCTCAAGCGATCCTCCTGCCTCAGCCTCCAAAGTAGCTGGGACCACAGCCACACCACCATACCCAGCTAACTGTTCTATTTTTAGTAGAGATAGGGTCTCACTATGTTGCCCAGGCTGGTCTCAAACTCCTGTGCTCAAGCGATCCTCCCGCCTCAACCTCCCAAAGTGCTGGGATTACAGGCATGAGCCACCAGGCCCGTCTGTATCATTTTTTTTCTGATGCCTGTTTTTATCCTCAATCTGGCTGAGGGATTCCGGTGTGGGGGAATACGTTCTGACCCATTTCTTTTGAAAATCTGTCTGGGCAGCAGTTGGTCTCACCATGTTTCCTGACAGGTATGACGCAGACTGAACCACATTTATACTCCTGGCTGCAACTCTCCAAGCTGGGCCAGGCACTGTCAGGCCAACAGCTGGGTGTTACTCTAGGCCTTGATGCCCCAACAAGACTGGCAAGAGGAACAGTAGTGAGGCGGCATTTTCTGCTGAGCTTCGGCACGCCTTTAACTGTGTGGGTTTTTTTTTTTTTTTGAGACAGAGTCTTGCTCTGTCGCCAGGCTGGAGTGCAGTGGTGCGGTCTTGGCTCCTGCAACCTCCGCCTCCCGGGTTTAAGTGATTGTCCTGCCTCAGCCTCCTGAGTAGCTGGGACTACAGGCACCCACCACCACGCGCAGCTAATGTTTTGTACTTTTAGTAGAGACTGGGTTTCACCATGTTGGCCAGGATGGTCTTGATCTCTTGACCTCGTGATCCACCCACCTAGGCCTCCCAAAGTGCTGGGATTATAGGCGTGAGCCACTGCACCTGGCCTTAACTGTTTTTTTTTTTTTTTTTGCTGTTGTTGTTTTTGAGACCGAGTCTCACTCTGTCACCCAGGCTGGAGTGTAGTGGCGTGATCTTGGCTCACTGCAAGCTCTGCCTCCCGGGTTCATGCCATTCTCCTGCCTCAACCTCCTGAGTAGCTGGGACTGCAGGTGCCCGCCACCACGACCGGCTAATTTTTTGTATTTTTAGTACAGACAGGGTTTTACCGTGTTAGCCGGGATGGTCTCGATCTCCTGACCTCGTGATCCACCAGCCTCGGCCTCCCAAAGTGCTGGGATTACAGGCGTGAGACACCACGCTCGGCCAACTGGTTTTAATAGCTTTTTCTTTTTTATTTAGTCAAATCTGCTGCTTCAAGGAGCAAAGTCTATGTCCGCTGAGGGTGTTTGGAGAATGTGTTGCAATCTCCGAAGGCAATCCCGAGAGAGGAATTCCAGAGATGTTTTCAGTCAGGGGTGGCCCAGCAGCTAGGGATGGCTGTGTGGCCGCTTAGCCTGGCCAGGCCCACACAGGCAGAAGGCAGTCCTGATTGACTTTATTTTATTTATTTATAGATGGAGTCTCCCTCTGTCGTCCAGGCTGGAGCACAGTGGCACTATCTTGGCTCACTGCAACCTCTGCCTCCTGGATTCCAGTAATTCTCCTGCCTCAGCCTCCTGAGTAGCTGGGATTACAGGCGCCCACCACCACTCCCGGCTTGGCCAGGGTGGTCTCAAAACTCCTGACCTCTGGTGATCCACCTGGCTGAGCCTCCCAAAGTTCTGGGATTATAGGCGTGAGTCACCGCACCCAGCTGGTTGACTTTAAATAAATCGATCACATTGTCTGCATTATAGTCTGTTATGGCTGTTAAGAAAAATTAACTTGGCAGGCAAACAACCTCAGCAAAATCAAAAATTGGGATGCTGTTTTTTTTTTTTAAGACTGTTTCACTTTGTCACCCATGCTGGAGTGTGGTGGTTCGATCTCTGCTCACTGCAACCTCTGCTTCCTGGGCTCAGGTGATCCTCCCACCTCAGCCTCCCAAGTACCTGGGACCACAGGTAGACACCACCATGCCCACTTAATTTTTGTATTTTTTGCAGAGACAGGGTTTCACCATGTTGCCCAGGCTGGTCTGGAACTCCTGGGCTCAAGTGCTCCTCCCACCTTGACCTCCCAAAGTGCTAAAGTTACAGGTGCGAGTCACCACGCCCAGCTGGTGTTTTTAAACATGTGCTTATCTGCTCACTTACAGCGAGACATTTACTTTTCTGACTGTGCTTACAGGAAGTCACTCTGAAAACTCAGGTTTACACATGACATCTAATTGCACAATCAAGCACACGCTCTCAGGCTGCATGAAGTACTGTCGCAGACAGGACTGCAAACACTCTCGGGGTGGGAATGGCTGGCAGCAGTGCTCAGGAGAAGGATGTGACAGGAGTCAGCTCCTAGGAAGTGCTGGCGCCCACGCACCTGTGAGCTCCGGGAGTCTGACTCACCGGGTAAGTGAATTCTTGTAATTTCCACAAACAGCCCTGGGGTTCCCTTAAACCAGACTGTGAGCCTCTTGAGATGGTGGATCCTCAGTGGTGCCCAGAACCCGGGAAGGAGCCCAACGTGCCCAATGCAGTTATTAAAAATGACACTGAGAAGTTATCTGTTTACCCTCCTTGATTCAAAAATACAATTTATTTTAAAAACAAAGAGAGAATGGATGCAGGAGCCCACCTGGGCTCTCTGTGGAGTCGCCCCTTCCCAATGGCGATGGCCACTCCCTGTGGCCTCAGTTTCCTCCCTGGAATGAGGGGGTCCAGGTGGCACCGTCCTCGAAGGGTGGGCGTGGGCCTGAGGCTCCCAAGTCAGCCACGGGCTCTGCCTGGCTCAGAAGAGGTGCTTCACATCACGAGTGGTACGGGGTGGCCACCGGGCCCTGGGTAGCGTGGGGCGGGGGTCAGGGGAAGTTGCTGTAGGGCAGGTTGAAGGGGTAGAGGGGTTTGTAACGCGAGTCCTGCCAGAGCAGCTTGTCCTCCAGGAAGGCGATGGTGGGCAGCGTCAGGACCAGCGTCTGGTGCTTGAGCATGCTGTGCACATTTAGGCCTGGGGGCGGGGTGGGGGACAGTCAGGGCGGGACTGCCTCTCTCCTCATCCCACCCACATCGGAGTCCCTTTGTGCTTACAGAAGAGAGACCTTCACTGTGGTCTAGTGTGACTTTGTGAGCCCAGCAGCCCGGGGCCAGACCCTGCCGGGCCGCTTGTTGCCTGTAAGCCTCTGGCCAAGGAGCTGCTCCCAGATCATCATCCGCTGGCCGAGTCCCTCGGAACGCCAGGCTCGGCCCTGTGCCTGGCCGGGACTCCTGGCTCCCATTCCGGTGAGGGAGACCCAGGGCAAACGATGGGAGGGCAGGGGAGTGACGGGACGGGTCATGCAGGGCCTGATGTGCCACCCTGAGGACTTGGGCTTTCATCCTGAGAGCGCTGGGAAAGCCGGCGAGGGCTGTGGGTTGAGGGACAGGACCTGACTCAGGCTCACGTCGCCATCTGGTGGCCGTGAAAGGAACAGACTGTGGCTTTGGCAGAGGTGACCTTGGATCCTTTTTTTTTTTTTGAGGCAAGAGTCTCGCTCTCTCCCCCAGGTTTGGGTGCAGTGGTGCGATCATGACTCACTGAAGCCTTGGCCCCCAGAGCTCAAGCTATCCGCCTAGCTCAGCCCCCTGAGTAGCTGGGACTACAGGTGCACACCACCACGCCTAACTTTTTAATTTCTAGTACAGATGGGAGCCTCACTATATTGGCCAGACTATCTTGGCCTCCCAAAGTACTGGGATTACAAGCATGAGCCACCATCCCCAGCCAAGCACCTCTTTAGGAAAGATTATTGCTTTGGGCAAGCTGAGAGTTGGGTCTGGGCGCGTGGTCACTGCCCAAGGCCACTCAGCGACCAGATGCTGGATTTGAACTGCTGTGATTCTAACAGTGGAGACTGCACGTGCACACTCTGGGGGCCTGGGCCTTAGCTCACCAACAGCGGGGATCAGGTTGAAGGTCTTGAGCCTAGAGGTGGCCTCCACGATGCTCTGTGGCATCTCCTCGTATGTCCTGTAAGAGAGGACAGGGAGTGGGGGTTGAACCCTCAAAGTACAGAGCTCAGGCCCCCTGCCCCTGCTCTGCCCTGTGTCCTCACAAGTCCACGAGGAGCACGGAGTCCCCCCAGCGGCGGTAGCGCGCCAGCTCCGTCAGGTACTGTGGGTCTCCGGTGGGCAGCTCTAGGGAGTCCATAATGTGCAGGTCATCCTGGTGAAAGGAAAGGATGGTTTGAGCCTTGGGTCCAGAGCAGCCCCACCTCTAGCAGCTGTCTGGGCCCCCCATGGCTATACCTGGGCCAGCTTGATGCTCAGTGCCACTTTGAGGCCCAGGGCCCGCACCTTCATGGGCAGCATGTAGTAGTAACTCGTGGGGCCCCGGGGGCCATGGGCAACACCTCCTGTGGGGACAGAGGCGTGTGAGCAGGGAGGGGCCACTGCAGAGCTTGGAGGTCAGCAATCTGCTGCAGTGGCTGGCATGGGGTGACAGGAGAGAGGGGGCACTGCCAGGAATCAGGCAGAGAGGGTGGGGCCTCAGGGGAGGCTGGATCAGGGACAACATGGGACCAGTGACTTTGCTTCACTGGTCTTCAGTTTCCCCAGCTGTCACACTCTGAGACAGGGCTGGCGAAGGTGGCTCATACCAGCACTTTGGGAGGCTGAGGACGGAGATCACTTGAGCCCAGGAGCTCAAGGCTGCAGTGAGCTATGATTGCGCCACTGCACTACAGCCTGGGCAATACAGTGAGATCCTGCCTCAAAAGCAAACAATAAAAAAAACAAATCACCTTGAGATCGGACAGTTCCTGCCTCACAGGACACCAGGAGTTATGGTGTGGGTTCCGTAGAGTGGCTAGAGGGTGAACTTAACTCAAGCACAGCTGTTAATGCTGAAATTATCAGGAGGTTCGAACTTTCAGGTCTAGGGGGAGAGGGAGGCATCAGGCACACTTTCCAGTGGAGCTAGCAGTATGATTTGGGAGCAGTAACAGTTGGGGAGACCCCTGCAAGCACCATGTGTTGGTGTTCGCCCTCGCCTGGGCCTTGGATATGCAGCAGAGAAGACGACAGACATGGTCCCTGCCCTCATGCCATTCACATTTCGGCAGGGCAGAAAAGAGGCTCAGCTGTAGAAGAAATCAGGGTAGCCCTGGGGGATGTGGAAGGAAAGGAGATCAAGGGGGGCTTCCTGGAGGAGGTGTGGCCCAGAACCCTGAAAGGTGAGGAGAGCTGGCCGGGTAAACAGGTGACGGGGTGGCTGGCACCACTCTGAATCATCCTGTTAGCATCCAAGAAAATAAAAAGTTAAAAACAAACCAACAACTACAACCAAAAAAAAAAAAAGAGAGTCATCTCTGCCTGGTCAGAGAGGGAAAGGAGGGGATGAGGGGGCAAGGTGTGCAGCCACCAGGGCCCACGATGACAAGGAGGAGTTCAGGTTCCACGCAAAGGCTGAGGGAGGTGGGAGATTTAGGAAGAGCTCTCCGGGTGCTGTGGGAAGTGTGGGTCAGGAGAGGATGACAGGAGGTGAGGTCAAGAGGGGCTGTGGCTACGGGCTGAAGAGGGAGGGCATGAGAGGAGGAGGAGTGGATGGCTCCCAGATCTGTCCCCCAACGGGTAGTGAGGTCCAAGGACCTCAGTTCCAATGTCACCATCCCAGTGGTTCCATGAGGTGGAGGGAACAGGGCTGACACGATACCACGCCAGATGTGCGCAGCTGTGTGTGAGTAAACACCCAGGTCCTTCCCTGGCTCCCCCACCCCTCTCCGCCCC